GTCCCAGGCTTTTGGCATCAGAGGAGTTGGCCCAAGCACCCAGCGGACCCAGGGGACCCAGGGGTCCAGGGTGGGTCTTAGATATTTGCTTCGACTTAAGTCAACCTTGGATGTGAATTTTAATGCTTCAACCTTTGGCCATACATGTGAACATCGACAAACCGGTGTATATCTAAGATTGGCCATGTTGAGGAAATTGCGGGGGAAAAAAGTCTTACTGCATAATGTTTGGCCATCAAATGTTGAGTGTTTCCTCAAACATTTTGCTGGCAAGCAAATTCTACAGCAGGAAAAAATTAGCAGTGGTTATCCTATAGGGTAGGTAAAGAGTACTGTGTGTGGGTTAAACATTTGTTGTTGGTTACTCATGTTTAACGCTAGAATTTTGGGCTCAAATGATGCGTTTGTTTGGTTACTCAGAGCGTCTGGGCAGTTGTGATCATTGCATTTTGGGCTACCATCTCCGAGTATATTCGGGCTTGACTGGTTGCTTCGGATCCATTTTTCATCTACCCTCTGGTTATGTCAAAATAGCTATTAAAATGGCCATAGAAATAGTGGATTTACCCATTGAACATGGTGATTTTCCATATATGGTAGGTATGTTAGTTTACCACAGGGTATGACATGTTCATCTACTCTACTTTGAATTAATATATGGGATAATCCTTCCCATTGACTAATATTTTTCAGAGAGGTTGAAACCACCAACCAGTATTGGTTGGGAGTTCCATACTTCTAAGGGTGGGAAGTGTGCCGATGATGCTACATTTGGAGCTGCCGCACCCATTTCAGGTAGCTAGCCTGGAGATTTCGGAGTGAGACGGACGCTGCACGCCCAGTCGTGGGGGTTGGTGCTGGTAATTGAACGGTCTGCGAGCTGAAAAATTATGAAACATCAGGAAAAAACACTATTTTTTAGTAGGTACATCATCCTAAAACATCTATTTTGGCTCAAGCCAGAATGTTAAAACACAGATTTTCCAGCCCGAATGGTAACAGAGAATGCAGAAGCACCAATTTGGGAAGCACTGCTAAAGATATCAGATTCTGAGCGCATCACTTTCGTTGGCAGTCTGGATGGCAGCTTTTCAGGGGCATATGGCAAAGCATGGAACTTCTTGACACAAGCAGCACGTCAGTCTAATGGTCCCTGTGCCAGTTTCTATGTTTTTTTGCCTGACCGCAAGGCAAAAGGCTTTGACCATCATGTCAAGACTGGAGCTGAAGGCGGAGGCTGCCACTGCTGGCACCTCTATGGAAAATAACAGTAGTTTGGTTGCGCTTGGTACGATCTCTGGCTCCGCAAAACGCGGAAGGCTATACAAAAGAAATGCCAGCTCATGGCCGTTACCAGGAGAGATGGCAGCCTTGGTAGGTCACAGGAGGGGGAAGTCCGCTTCCTGGAAGTCGGCGGATTTACATATTGTCAGATGACAATCGAGGATTTTGTGTACCATTACCATGACAAAGCACCTGAGGATAAGAAAAAGATGGTGAGAGACTTTATCCAGTCGAGTAAGTCAAGATGTGCACAAAAAGAGGCAGCAAGGAAGTCGCATGCCAACAGCATCCGGCTAGCAGGTGGTGATATCTCTGCAATTGTTCCTCTTCGGCCCAAATTTTCAGAATATATATTCAGAATATTCCATATATGATCCTGACACGGCCTCTGTGCCTGACACAACCCAGACCAGTCCAGAACGCAATCGCCAAGTATCAGTAGAAGTAGATCTCGTTACAAACCCCGCCACAGCACGCATGACGATCTACCACAAAGATGGCCACGAAGAAGAGGTGGCGCTTGAGCTGGAAGGGAACGGGATGAGTAGAAAGAACTCCATTCTGGTGGATATGCTAAGCCCCGACGGTCCAACGATTGAATCTCACGATGGTGGCCGTGAAATTGAGCCTGCCAATGACGATGATGTTCCTCCAAATTCGGTGTTTTCTCACGCGAGCCCAGTGACTTCCAACTACCTTGCCTCTGCACCGCCTACGCCGCCTTCTCTTACCCTTCCCCAACCACCTCGCTTTGACACAGCGCTTCCAGATGTAAGGTCAACCCCGGCCTTAGAGAGGCAGGGGCCAGATCATGAAATTCTCGTGGCCATCAGTGTTAATGGACATCCTGAAAATTGAGATCCGTCCTGTCAATGGCAATCACTTCCCCTAAGGGGAATCTAAACTAGAGGTTTCAACTAGATAGAAGTTTCAAACAGCTTCAAAAGATGGAAAAAAACTATGGGCCATGGCTTCCATATGTCAATAACCTAATTTTTCACATCGCGCAACTCCGGATTTTGTCATCAACTCATCATTGTGACTGGTGTCAGCCTGCTTGTGACCGTTGCCTTAAGCGCAAGGAATCATTTCGCCCTGCAAGATGCAACCGAGGTGCTTTAAATCTGCAGCAAAACTGCTGAGTTGGTCCAAGCCACTAGGTACCACCAGGCGGTACCACCGAAGAAAATGGAGTTCCATCCAAACTAAAACAACAGTGGGTTGAGAGGGGTCTGAATCATAACATAACCATACCCCCAAACAAAAATATCCAGATGTTGGTTGAATTTGCCATGCCCGCGATCTGCAGCTACACCCCCCCGCGGTTGTACAGAGCTTGGCAGGTTTCGGCCGGGCCCAGCGGGGAATAGCGGCAGTGGAAAATGACCCCCCTCGTGGTCATGTGTTGAACTTACTGCAGTGAATCAATGGATCATTGCATCGAGTGAAACATCTAAAATGCGGAGTTTCCTCTGAAACCACCCACCAACTAGTCATTGTACTGGGGAATGCCATGGTTTGGGGGTTTGCAAGTCAGTTGACCATACTGACCATACTTGACAAACCGGGCCAGGGCCTTCAGGTATCATGAAAATTTACAAAGCTGTTCTGGCCCTAGCTTGGGGACCTTGAGCCACTCCCAAAGGAGCAAGACAATAAAAGAGGCTAAGTTGGGTCAACAACTGGATCACATCACACCACTTGCAGCATTCATCTCATGACGCTTGGGGATCACATCTTTGGCACCTGAATCTGGAGCTGTTTGTTTCACAACCCACGCTGGTGCTGAAGACCGTGCCCCGGCGCAAAACGTTGCAACAGACCTTAACAGATGCTGTGGATGTGACGACGTGATGTGCAGTTTCAGGATATCCCAAACCATGCTACGCATGGGTTTTTACCCAATCTATGCAAGAATCTCTGCTTACAGGGTTTTACGGGGTTTTACAGGGTTTTGCAGGGTTATATCCCAGATTTTAAATTCTTAGAATCTTAGATGTTTTTTTACTGGGTTTTAGTTTGATGATCCGCTGATACCCACTGCTACCACAGTGTCTGACTTTGAGCCATTTTTTCCCCTTCAGACCATTCAGCCTGGACAGCCGATGTCCAAAGTTGCTGTCCTTGCTCTTTGGAGCGTGTATTGTGGACACTCGGGCTCGAAAGTGACATGCAGGATAGCACAATGATGCAGAATGAGAAGTGTGGATTTCATTCTTCTCATATAGTGTATATACATGTACTATTTCCAGCATAGTATATGTTTATGCATGTATCATTAATCTACAGTAATATATGTAGTGTTTATTAGTACATTTGTATAGTGTTTTTCTGTCAGAAAAGCAGACAGAGTTTCATCATGAGGATATTTTTGAGGTTCCCCTTGCTGCATCTATATCTTAGTAAACTCTTTATAGATAAGTGAGTGTACATATATTAGGTATCATCATATTCCCTAGATTCAAATTCCATTGAATGGTACATAAAAAGTGAAAAATGATATCTATGATTCTATGATGCCAATTAAATTTTGTTAGATCCTCCATGATAAACGTAGAGATCCCACTCTGCCTTAAGGGTTTATCAATTCCAGCCAGATGTTCCGGCCATGTCTGTGCCTAAGACTGGAGCGAGATAGCCTGGACGGGATCATTGGGGAAAATCGATATGAAACCATGTTTGTTGCCAGGAAGAAACATGACATGTGCCATGGTTCCATACCTAACCTTGGTTTTCAATAAGAATTGATGAATAACCATTGTATAACCATCTAGATTTGATGTGTGTAATCAGCTTCAGACCGTGAGTTTCAACTGGCAGTAGCCAGGATGTGTTACAATTCCTGGGGTCAGTTGGTGTTGCGATTTTAGGTGCTTGTTGACTGTTCGACTTCTGCTGATTTGACATATAGGAGATACCGTACTGGCTATTCAAGTGCAACCTGTCAACTTGTCATTTCCATATCTACAGTTGAAAATGTTGAAACTGAAAGATTCCAGATGGTTACAGTTTTCAACCTCACTTAACTAAGGTTTGGTTCAGAAATTCCACTTCCGTGAATGTCAGTGATCTCCTTTTCTTGGCTCAAGCATGCCATAGGCCAGTCTCCCGTCCATCGCTGTGTTTTTAAAAGCCACTAGATCTCGATGGGTGCCATCGGCTGCCGCTGTACCGATGACGTGGATACCACCTGCGCCGAAGCCACGGCCGAAAACGACGTGGCACCTGGGACGGCCCAAGAATCTTTAGGGATTTTTCATGGATTTATCGCATCGATCCCATAATGTTTACGTGTTTTTTTTTGCTGTGTGTGTGCTTCTGTGTGTTGTAAGATGTTGTGAGATTTATGGAGGAGTAAGCAATTTTGCAATAGTTTGCATGTGTATCATTATGTAGCCTGATGTGAATGATCAAAGAATTGGCTAACGATCATACGCAGGGATTTATGGAGCATCCACATGGAAATGATGGCTTACAAAAGGTGTTTGATGGATTTTAACCATCACCTAGAGGAAAAAAACATGGAGATGGGACAAGAACACCCAAGATGCCTTTTGCCATCAGGCGTTGAGCCAAAGTTGACCAGTTTCCAATTTCCCAACGAGTTTAGACGTCAACTTGAGGTGATGATGACTTAGAGAGTTGAGACATCAACGTGAGTTTGTTCATTGTGAATTGGAGTTTGGAAGTTGTTCTACTCAGAGTTGAGTTGCTGG